GTGCAGCGAGGAAGAAGTCCAGACATGACAAGACTCTGGATTGATGGAGACTGAAGATTGATGGAGATTGAAATCAGCTCCCAGGGCTGTGGGGATAACACCAAGGTCATGAGACCCTGGAAGGGGGCTCAACTAGGAGGACAACTACGAAACGGTGCCTGAAACCCAACAGAAATTTGATTGTGGGAATTGGAAATGAGATAATGAGCCCAGTTCACCAATTAAAGACTACTGGAACTGCTGTTCAGACAAAAATAATGATACAATGGAGCTATACAGATAATTTTCCTTTTCTTAAGGGAAGACTATATTCAATGTTAGAGAATAGGAAGTCTTTCTGTAGTTCTGGACTGAATCTCTGTGATATTTAGGAGACTGGAGCTGCAGAAAACCAACCTGTCCACTGTTAACTCCAGCTGTGGCACTGGCAGAGTAAATGGTCACCGGTCCCCAAAAGATGCCATCATCGATTGCTGATTTATCAAATGCCTGCACAAACAAGATCTGCAGCATCAAGAGAAGGTGTAGGAAGACTGTGCAAGGAAAACTTATAACACATTCAGGTCTTCTTTTATCAAACTCTCAGCTGAGGTGCCAACAAGCGTGGAAATTATGGAGATTTTCAATCCAGTGATCGGGTTAAAGGTCTACACCACGGAGAGATGAGAGCGCGGGAGTGTTTGTGTACGTGATGTTTACACTGCGAGTACCCAGAAGAGAGAGCAGTGTTGGCCACTGAATTGGAAACATGCAGCTAGAGGGGAAATCGTGTGTGTGAGTGGGAAAGGGTGTGTGTGAGTATCTGGTGTGTGACAGTTGCACTTGACGTTCTACAAACCCCTTTACTGCTGCACCTTTGCAAAGAAAAGGGGGGCAGCAAGTTGCTCATAAACCACAGCTTCATTTCACACCGGAAAAGTTGTATGCTATAGTCTCAGCATCTTTTGTTGGTTTTTTTTTTCCTCTGTTTGAAATAAGTGTTTGTGATTTGCCACTAAATTTTGAAATCTTCATTAAAACTTTCCATTCCTCCTTACAAAAGAGATCCTTCAAAGGTTAACAACAGGAAGAATCAGCAATGCTGAAGCAAACACAGTCCGGTGTCACTCCCTCGGTTACCATCACCGATCACTTGCAGGGATCAAGCAGTACCTGCTCATCAGCAGCAACGCTGCATCATTGCTTAGCCATGGGAAGTCCTTCTGAAGCACTATGAGGAGATACTATGGGGCAACAGAACAACAAACCTGATGAAGCACGGTCATTTTGATGCTCTTTTTGCTTCTACCAACCATTGCAGCGTAACGCCCGTGTCCTGAGACGTGCTCTTGCTGCCAGTCACGCAATACCATGAGACTTCCACATGATGTCTGATATTACTGATACTAAGAAGCTGAACGGTTTCTTACGACTATGAAGAAGTCACTGAGATCCTTCCACAAAATGACTAAGAAATCAATCGTATCTGAAACTCAGCATCTCCTCCAGCTCTGATGGCCCAAGCTCCCATGTCTTCTCTGTCAAATGGATGTAAGCAAGCATAGAGAAAACTAATCCTAAACTCACCTCCTGCCAAGCCCCACTCAAAAAAAGCAGAACCTTGTGAGTCTGTCTCTTCCCTGCATGATTTTGTCTCTTCTCTCCTTGCTCCTGTCTCCTTCTGTTTAATTATTTGACATTAATTAAATACAGACCTAGGCTGGCCTTAGTGTATAAAGATAAACGTCGGTCTCAAGCGACTTAGGTTGGAGTTCACCAGCAATCAGAGCCCTGCAACCTTAGCTGTGAGTAAAATGAAACTTAATGGTACGTTTGGGAGAAAAAAGAAACTACCTTTTACTGTTTGACCAACATGGCTGGTCTCCTGACACCTCTTATACGATGCTCTGCAGAAGTAACTGGTTGTCTGAGTTTTTTCTTCTTCCTTAGTCATAACTGTGGCACTACAACAGAAATTACTACTAAAACATGTTATTAATGCTAATGTTTCGCTGATTTTGCTTAGGTCCTCAGTCTGACAATGACAGTCTATTGCAAGAGATCATCTAGAGGTCAAACTCCCAAACCAGAGCATGGTTAAGTCAAAGAAATTCCTTAATTAATCTGATTAACCACCTACTCCTCCCAGTTTTGGAGTAGGTCATCAGTGTAAAACTTAAATATACCAATCTAAATTATTTATACAAGTGTTGTTTTTAAATTAGAGCTTTCCTGGAGGTCCTGCTTGTGCCTGGAGCTTTTCAAAATCAAATAATCTCCAGTGCAACTGTTTTAGTTGTTTTTGTTACCCTGCGAAATAGAAACAGCTTTGTGCTAAGTGATACCTAAACACCGAAGGCAGAAAAAAAAATGATCCCTGCCCCAACTAATTTATTATTTAGGAGACATGAGATGGGGGCACAGCAAAGGGGTGGTTTCATCTGATCGCATGCAGATGTCTCCATCAGAGCTATACTTCCCTGGTTCCCCCTCTGACCGACGAAACGTGTCCGTGCTGAAAAGCGACGTATGACAGCCTGCCTGCAGCTGTATCTCTCTGCTGACGACAGGTTTTTGTCTTGCCTTAAAAGGATATATTCACTAAGAGTTTATTGCAGACAGCAGAACGGAATAGCTGCCCCTGAAGCCGCCGCCTGTGAGTCCCCAGCGTCACCCTTGCCCAGCACAATGGGCAAGCGTCAGAAGAGACAGGGGCTGGTGGTATCCTTCACATAGTAGTGAGTCACAAAGCGCTTCAGCGAATGAGAGTACAAAGAGAAAAAGGAGACCTGTGAACGGTGACGCAGGGTCTGAACGTGACAAAGGAAACGGTGGCCTTGCATGGAAACCAGCTCAAATCCATGAGCCACAAGGACCATGATCAAGGACACGTCTACACCCAGGAGAGGAATCTCTGGGCTCCAGTTTGGTACCCTGGACTGATTCCTAATAAAATTCACCATTAATCAGAGACAAGAGAGACATAAGACGCCCCTACTAAGAGATGCAATAGCCCTTCCTGGCTGATCCTTTAATTGTATAGGTTTTCCCAGCGCATCCATCACCACGTCTCTGAGGACACGCAGTACGTGCTGTAGTTAAGCATCCACACTCTACAGCAGAGTGAGAACCTAGTCCTGACAAACATTTGATCCATCCTCATTTGCCAGCACATTCACTTCCATTTGGGAATCGGGAATTTTCCTACTTTGGTCTCAGTAAGGTTGTCCTTTTGAAAATGCTTTTGAAATTTCATTTTCTGTTGCTGAGTTGTAGTAGTGATGGAAGCAGGAGGGCACTCACACAACAATCCCGATGGATGGCAGGAACCAGCTCACTTCAGCATCTCAGAAAACATGAGACTCAGCTGCAGTCATCTACAAGGCAAGCCCATAGTTTCAGTTCCTTGTTTACGTTCCTCCATCAGCCTGTGAAGACAAGCACTTCCCAAGAGCAGCTTATCCCATTATAAAGGGAGGATGAATTGTACTTAGGATTAGGAGAATAAACTGCCCACCAAAACCAGAAGGAGCCTACGCAAGTAGTATCACTTGATGTCTCATCTGGAGATGGCTGGAGTGCTAAGAGGTGACATTTAGCTTAAATCTGACATTCACATTTGCTTGATGGGAGTTTGAGATCCAGATCCTTGTAACGTTATTTAACTGATGAAACCTATTTTATCTTCATTTTACCAAAATCTGCTCTATTTCAGGTAGACATCACAAGTATCACAGCCTCACAAAAGTATGAATTTCACAAATCTCAGCAGGCCTATTTCAGGTAGACATTGCAATTCTCATAGCCTCATGAAAGTATGAATTTCACATATCTCAGCAGGTCTAACACCGGCTTTTCACTCACCAACATGCTTTGATGCCCAGTGAAATAAACCCAGTTCCTAAACCATTTTTGATAACTCGCCTTTAAGTAGCAGCCACAATAGCAATGGCATCAAAGTCAACAGCACCTGGTTTCTGACATACCCAGGAAAAGGGGGCTTTCTTTGCAAAGGGGTAATAGAAAAACACCTTGCACAGAAAAATAATCAACAGGAAAGCCAGGAAGTGCCAACTAAAGAAATAAATAATACACCAGCCCACCGCCTCGCAGTCTGGTGAAACTGTTGCTGTTGTACGTGCAAAGCTCCAGGAAGCATCACCCATACCCATGTGCAAGTGGTCACCTGGAGGCAGCAACAAGGGCTCTCTCCGCTGAAGCGTGCAAGGGGTTTTTTGGCAGGGCGGAAGCCTCTGTGGTTAGAGAAGAAAACCACAAGATGTTAAAAAAAAAAAAAAATGCATACCCCCGGGGCGTGAGGCTTTCTCGGTGGGTTTCAGATCACAGACCACCTGCCTTGCACAAAGCGGCTTTTGCAGAGCAATTGCAAAGACGAATTGCAAAGAGAACAATCGAGCACCTGAAGAACTCAGCTGCGTGTCGGCAACGCATGTGCTTGGAGAGAAATAATACGTATGGATATATGCCATGAAATACCCGTGTCTTGCTTGCTGGGTAATAAAACGTGGTGTGCTCTGCCACCCGCATGAGACCCCTCGAGTGTATGCAAGCGAAGGCAGCAGAATCCCCACCAAGAAACGCAACTTGGGGCCTGCAGCCAAAGCGCGGGGCTTGCCCGTGACTTCTGCTGCGGAGCTGGACGTGCTATGAACCCCCAGATGGCCGGGAGACAGCAGGCTGTGGTGGCTGATCCTACCTCAGGCATGAGCATCATCGGTCTGAACCTCTAGGGGAATCATCGAGGCAAAATCCTTGAGGCACCGTTAAGAACCCATAATGATAAATGAGCCCAAATTCTGGATTAGAACTGAATTTCTTCAGAAATCTTTTTTTTTCCCCCCCTTCATTTTGCTGCAGATGCTGAACATCGTCTCTTTACCCGAGAGGGTCCTGGTGACATCACATCCTCTCCGAAGAGCAACGCAGCCTCCTAAGTCAAGCGAGAAAGATCCTCTCTGCTCTGCCGCACCGTCCCCAAGGACGGCCACCCCTAGGAGAAGATGGCCGGGTCTCCTGCATTGCTCCTTCTGCTCGCTCTGGGGCTCTGTGAGTATGGACACGGGGTTGTGCGTCACCTTCACCGAGAGGGGCAAGTAAGCCCCTTCCACTGAATCCAAGAAATTGGGCTAAATAGTTAGACGGAAAATAAAAAGCAAACCAAAAAGGCTGACTTTGAGGTTTGCTCAGTAATTGTGGAGGTAAAGGTGGCATCACCTCAGCCAGCACAGGGCAGCCGGAGGGGTGGCTGCAGCATCATGTGCACCGGGAAGGGAGCCCCCTTGGAGAAGTGGTTTGGGAGGGGAAGGAGAAGGGGAAAAAAGAGGGTTTAGCAGTCAGTGTTTTTTAGGGAGTCACTTCAGATAAGCTGGGAAGGGGTAACGTCCCTGAGAAGGCAGCTGAAAGGCTTTTCTGAAGGGCAGTACCCATCTTTAAAGCCCGGATGGCTGATTGTTGAGCATCCTCCACACACAACCCCAGCAAGGACTCCAATAAAACCTTGAAGTCATCCAGACAGCATGGTCCTCCCTTTGCATTTGACCTCACACCCCATGGACATGGAACGAGGTTAGCCCGGAGGGGACATGGCTCTTCCCGAGCGGTTCCCACAAGGATTTCTCTCCCGCAGGCTGCCCTGGGATCCATGGTCGGAAGTACGAGATGAGGGTCAGTTTTCACGATGCCAGCACCACGCATCCCCGGCTGGGACAGCGGCTGGAGCTGAAGTGTCAGACCAACAAAGAGGACAGCGGCATATTCTGGATCCGCCAGAACAAGGATGGGACCCTTCACTTCATCGTCTTCATGTCTTCCCTGTCCCGGACCACCTTCAAGGGGAATGAGAGGACATCCACACGCTTCGAGGCGAGGAAAGACAGGAGCATCTACTGGTTGGTAGTGAAGTCTTTCACGCCACAAGACGAGGGGAACTATTTCTGCCTCATGAACAGCAACCAAGTGTTGTACTTCAGCCCTGGCCAACCTGCCTTCTTCCCAGGTCAGCAACACCTCCACCCGACCTCGCTTAGCTCTCCCAAAATGCCCAGCACCTCCTGCTTGTGCCTTTGTTAATCAGTCACCTCTCCCACAAACCCCATTTTCCCTGCTTGCTTGCCCAAAGTATCTTGTGACCAACGCACCGGTCCTCCTGCCAGAGACACCGTGCTTGCCATCTCTTCCCATGGTATTGCTCCTGCCCAAAGGCAAAGATCGTCAGGCGGACCCAACATCACCTCCCCATCCCCGTTTCTCTATCCTATTCATGGCTTTGAAGGGATAAGATTAAAGCAAAGTTCACCACCGCCTGCTCCTTCCTCACCTCACATAGGACCCAAAAGCCCTACCAACCTCAGGGTACGCAGGCTTTCTGAGAATGGTGGTAGAAAGCAAGAAATAAGGAGCCTGCAGCTCCTTATTGGGTCTTGGGAGACCTTTCTTTGGGGCATCACCATCCAAAATGGGGTCTTTGAAGTTACCTCAGACCTGAGCCCTACACTGTCCACAGGAGCAGCTGTGCCCTGGCAAGGTTGGGAGAGTAGAAGGGCAGAAGAAAGCTATTTTATTGTATTTCCCTACCTGCTATATTCATTCATTTTCATTTATAGTCACCACCGTCGCAGCACCCACCACACCGAGACCCACCACCCAGCATGGCATCACCAAAAAGGACCCCTGCCTGAAGACCCCGGATCGAGGTAGCCCAACCACAGGGAGGGAGAGGGGAAGAGCTGGGCTCTGGTCCACTGATACCGAGAGGGATCCTGCAGGAGATTTTGGGATGGGAGGAGAGTGAAAATCCTTCAAGCTTTATCGGAGTTGGAAGGATTAAACTCCGATGTTTCATCCCACGTAGGAAAGGCTGAGGATGACACAAAAAGCATGAGCACATCTCATGCCTGGGGCACACCAGGAAGAGGTGGAGGGAAAGCAGACCCTTGGGAGGCTGGTGCTGATTTTAGCCTCGGCAGGGAATGCGAAAAACTTTTGTCTGCGTTTCCTCTCTCAAATCCCGAGAAAAATGCTGAGAGCATCAGCACTAACAAAGGCCCGTGCTGCACTTGCGGACATGGCTGGTGGGCTGCTTCACCCCCAGCCTCGCTGCGCACCAGGCAGGTCCCTTAGCTCCACCAGAGACGGCCATAACACCAGCCATGAACATCTGGTGGACCTTTCCTCTTCTCTATTCCTGCAGAGACCAGCAACGAGAAAGAGCTGAATTTCTTCTGTGACATCTTCATCTGGGTTCCCTTGACAGGGGCCTGCCTCCTGCTCCTCATCATCTTGGTGGTCACCATCATGCTGTGTCAAAGTAAGACTCACCCATAACCCCCCGTAGATGTTCCTCTAGCCTGAAACCGCAGCCCTGTCCTTCGGGGAAATGGATCTTATAGCTATCCCCTTTACATAGGCATCAAATAACCAGGACACAGTTAATGCAAGAGGAGGACCCCTGTTAAAATCAACGTCTGTATTTTCCTCATCAGTAGCCTTTGGCTGAGAAATACTTATCAACTTAGAATTGTAGAATCATTTAGGTTGGAAAAGACCTTTAAGGAAGAAAAATAGATTATAAATACAGAAAACTTCCTCTATCAAACTGTATTGGCTCTACCATCCTTCTTGGAATCATAGAATGGTTTGGTTGGAAGGGGCCTTAAATCTCATCTCGTTCTAACACCCCTGCCACGGGAAGGGACTCCTTCCACTAGACCAGGCCGCTCAAAGTCTCATCCAACCTGGCCTTGAATGCGTAAATCAGTGTATCAGAGGATAAAAATACCAGAACCTGAAACACTTTGACAAAATAGGGTAAGCGTGCTCCAGCACGTGGCTTGCAAATTCAAATACCGAGACTCCTGTTAGCAGCTCGCCTGTAACCAAATGAGCAACTTAATTACACAGGTTCAGAGACTTGCTACGGTTAAAGCAGCAATGCAAAATCTCTGGGTGTGCAAAAGTCCTTTGGTGAAATTTCACGTCTGAAATGTCTTTAAATTACCCTTAGCAAGCAGTGAGTGCAAGTATATTTAAATCAATTTAACGCTCACTGAAGTCAGTTTAACTTTCCAATACCCCCAGAAGTTACACCGATTTCATTAAACCGGCTCAGCACATTTGCCTGGAACACCGAAGTGTTTTC